CCTTGTCATTTTGTCCAGATAAGAATATATGAAAGAGCAAATAAAATTATAAAAGGGTGGCAAAGACCCCAGGAAAATGTGCTTTAACCAAATCAGAAGAGATCCCAAATCATGGGGGGGAGAAAGGGGATAAAAAGAAGTTCAGAAAAAAAAATTAAAAAAAAAAAAAAAAGAAAACAAATTTTAAAAAATATAAAAAAGAAAAAATATATATATTAGACTGGTGACTAGAACAGGGTCACCCACTTAATTTTGGGAGTTTTGGTCTCTTAGAAGAAACTACTTCCCAAAATTTTAAAGAATGAAAAACATATATAAGGGTAAACACAATGAAGGGATGGAATATGCCTATAAAGATGAAAAAAAAATTTTTTTAAATATTTCTTAAAAAGGAGTTGATAAAGCAAGTTGGTTGGGAGAATAAAGAAAAAGAAAGTGGAGAGATTTTGCTCGGGCTGGAGACTAGAACAAGCCCGGAGCTAGATTTAGGGCATATTTTGATCTATTAGGAGAAGTTGTACCCCAAATTTTTTAGAAGAAAAAACCCTACGTGTATATAAAAAATAAAGTTAGATACAATGAAGGATAAAATATGACTATAATAATGAAGTTTCAAAGAAGATTATTTTTTTTTTATGAAAGGTATTGTTAAGGTAAACTAGTTAAAAAACGTTAAAAGAGGAAAGGGTAAAAGTTAAAAAAAATTTAGAAGAAGAAAAAAAATAAAATTAAAAAAAAATTAACTGCAAGACTAAGGAATCATGGGGAGAAAGCCATGAATTCCATGTTTTGCTTTCTCCTCCTCTGGAATTCTGCTGTTCTCCTTGGTACCTGAACTTGGTCCTGGCTGGATTTCTTGTTGATCTTTTGCGGGGCCTGTTGTAGTGATTCTCAAGTGTCTTTGCCCCAGGCGGAATTGCACCGCCCTTATCAGGGGCAGAGCTAAGTAATCCACTCGGGTTTGCTTTTGGGAGCTTTTGTTCCCTGAGCGCTTTCGTAGAGTTCCAGAGGACAGGAATGAAAATGGTGGCCTCCCAGTCTCCGGCCCAGAGGAGCCGAGAGCTCGGGGCCCCACTCCTCAGTGTGCCCTCAGAGAAAAGCGCTCAATCACTCTGTCTCCTTGGTCTCCAGCCATGCTCCAAGCTCACCCAGCATGCAACTGGTTCAAGGTAACCCTGAGCTGAGAGCTCACTCCTCGGCTCTGTCTCTGTAGCCGGCTTCCCCGCTCTAATACTTGTAAGCTCTGCGACACTCAGACACCCCCGATCCTTCTTTGACCCCGCGCAACCTGGGGCCACGCTGACCCCACATGGGCTTCACCCCAGTTTAGCCTCTGGAGCGATGTCCCTCAGCGGAACGACTTTAAAAGTCCTGATTTTGTGTTCCATTGCTCTGCCGCTTGCCAGGAGCCGGCCCCTCCCGCTGCGGTCTATTTTCCTGTCGCTTTGGATTCACTTCTCCGCCGGTCCTACCTTTCAGAAAGTGGTCGATTTTCTGTTTCTAGAATTGTTGCTGTTCTTCTCTTCGGTCTCCTGTTGGATTTGTAAGTGTTCGCAATGGATTGATAAGCTATCTAGCTGATCTCCGGCTACCTGATGCAGTCTCAGCCTGCTACTCCGCCATCTTGACTCCTCTTCCTCCTCAGTATTGATTCTTAATGCTGCATAACAAATTACCAAAACCTAGCAACTTAAAACAATATCTGTTATCTCACAGTTTCCTTGGGTTAAGAATCTGCTTGTGACTTAACCAGGTCTTCTGTTCAAGGTCTCCCTAGGCTGCAAAATCAAGATATTGGTTTGGCTATGGTCTCATTTGGAGATTTGAATGGGAAGGGTCTGCTTCCAAAAGTGCTTAGGTTGTTGGCAGTTACTATTTATTTGGGGTGGTAAGACTATAAAGACCTGGGACTCGTACTGACTATTGGCTGAAGGCAGCCTTTATGTCCTAGAGGAAACCCACAGTTACCTGCCAGGTGTAACTCTCCACAGGTGTTTCACAACATGGCAGCTTGCTTCCACAAGGCCAGCAGAAGAGTCTCCCAATTGCATCTGCTTACAATATAGGGGTGTGTGTGGTGTGTATGCATATGTGAGCAGTGTATGTGGTGCATGTGTGTATACACATAATAATGTAAACATAGGGGGCGCCTGGGTGGCTCAGTGGGTTAAAGCCTCTGCCTTCGGCTCAGGTCGTGATCTCAGGGTCCTGGGATCAAGCCCCACATCGGGCTCTCTGCTCACCAGGGAGCCTGCTTCCGTCTCTCTCTCTCTCTGCCTGCCTCTCTGCCTACTTGTGATCTCTGTCTGTCAAATAAATAAATAAAATCTTTAAAAAAAAATAATGTAAACATGGGATTGGTATCTTACCATCTTTGCCATTTTCTCAGAAGCAAGTCATAGGTCTCTTCCACACATAAGGGAAAGGGATTAGATGAGGGGAAGAATACCAGGAGAGGGGAATTATTGGGGGCAGTGGAGGGGGGTCACACTAGGGTCTGTCCACCATAATCGCATTGAACTAGAATACTCAGAGAGGGACTATACTTAGATATGCATGCTTTTTATTGTTCTTCTGGAATCTAGTTGTTTTAAAAGAAGCTTATAATTCTTTTAACAAAACAATTTTAGTTCCCTTGTATTTAAAAAAAAAAAAAAAGAGCCGTATAAGCGATCTTGGGCAAGGCCTGGGAAGCTATAGGACCCAGAAGGGTAAAGAAGTTAAGTAAGAGAGAGAAATAATGACATCACGCACAGTCAGGAAACCGAAACTCCAAAAACTTAGGTATTACTGGTTGACGGGTTTTGTTTGCTTATTTTGTAATTGATTCTGCTTTGATTTTCCAACAATATGGAACTACGTGTATTTCATCTGTCTATATCCAAAGTTGGCTGTTACAGCTGATTTCAACAGTTCATAGAATTACCATCCACCTTCTTCAGTCAATTCCCTTCGCACAACACCTAATCCTCTGAAGAAGTAAGTCTGCTTTTGACTTCAGCACTTGAATACTGGAATGTAGCTCACCATCTGTCCTAAACTTTTCAAGTAACTTTTTGCCAAGACAAATGCGGATTATAAGTAAACAACCTGGGACATTTCTGGCCTCTGAACAGGAAAAATAAAGGAACCCTTACGTATTATTTTAAGTACTTTGTTTGTTAGCGGTGTTTGTGGTGAATGAGAAATTGATCCCTAGTTGTGTGAGAAATAGAGAAGTGATCTGCATGCCAATGGCCAAGCATAGACTTCAGAGACTTAGCAGTTTTGAAACTGATATTTATGAACATCTGCTTTTTCCCCATAAATTTTAATATAGATTTCATCCTTTGAAACCTGCAAAACTCCCAGGTGCTTCTTCAGCCTTTATCTTGGGAACATGATTTAAAAAAAAAAAAAAAAAGTATTAAACTTTGCAACTGAAAATGCCGTATTCAGCATGTTGAGCCTCCAAGATGTCCAATCCCAGAACACAAGCCATAATGGTCTTAATAAAGAGTGCTGAAAAGTATTTATTTCTAGTCCCAGTTTATGCCTTTCATTATTCTACAAATATTTATTTAATGCTTGCTTATGTGATAGGCATTTTTAGTGCTGAGATCATAATAGCCATTATAACAGAGAAAATCCCTGCCTTCATTGTGTTTATGTTCCAGTGAATATAAATGTGCTCTTAAATAATCCCCTTTAAATGTTCATAATACTTTCACGTAGGTCATTGGAAAACTTTACATTGGGCTTGCAAGCCATTGCTGTGAATCCATTCCTGATGCTGGACTAGATTCTCGGACTACAACTTTGAACAAAGTGGATGTTCATTCTCCCAAGAATCTTAGAGTTTGGCATATTTCTCACCTCTGTCAAGAAATGCAGACCTGGGAAACAGGAACTTTGGAGTAGAAACTAGGAAGCCACTTGCCCATTCTCTATTTTAGATCCATCAGAAGCAGCACACACAGAGCCTCCATCCCTGGGGCTTTCGGGCTTACGCTGTTACTCTGGGTAGAAGATCACAGCGTGTGGACCAGAGGAAAGGGAATAAAATCTCAACAGAGGACAAACACATCCGTCAACTGGGCACGTGTAAGGCTAGCTGGCAAAGACATTAAATCCCTCTTAGGAAAGCAAGCTTTTAAGAGTGAGGTTCTGACCACCCCGTAGCAGAGGCTACAAGTCATTTACATAATAGGAAAGCCTCAGGAGGACAGTAGAGCTATTTAATTTGGTTAGGCTAATCGTATTCCATCCATTTGCAGTGTAATGGAACCTCTCTCCTCTGCCTCTTAAGCAGGAATGCATTGGCACAATGACACGGGGCACATAAGACAAGGACAGTCTTCTTGGTGCATCAATTCAATTCAGCTATTGGGGGGGAAAATTAATTAATTTACTGATAAGTAGTTTAAGACATTATTTTCCATTAAAATCAATACAGCCATATCATGGAATATAATGCAAGATTTGCATATAATCTTAAGATAAAAGGTAGAACTGAAACAGTGCCAGAGCCAAGGGCTGAGGGATTAAACCCTCTCCCACACATTTCCCATCAGCCCCCTGCAAAGCTAGCCTAACAAAAATAATTTTTTGAGATGGATACTCGATTCTCAACTTTACGCAAACTGTACATAAAAGACAAACTCCCCCGTAGCATTCCTTTCAACCACATTGCCACATGGCTCCCCCTCCTTTTTATCCCTCTAATGTCTGGAGCAGACATTAGATGCAAGAAAATGCTGGGCCACTTCAGGCTTCACCCCCAACCCTGAGGCCCAAGCTCACTGCCCTCCACATTGCAGAGAACTCCCTTGGAAGGGCTTGAGATGGCTGCGGTCATGCAGGATGGGCCAGTAGAGGTTTTCTCACTGCTCCTTCCTTGTCCTTAGCACCAAGTCTGAGCACTGGCCACCCTACTCCCATGTCCCTTCTTTAAGTCCCAGAATGCTACATAGCAGGCAGATCAGCTTATGGGTTCTTTGTGCTTTGTGTTCCTGGAACAGGATCTGGACCAGGTACAGCTCCATCTGGAAGAAGTGAGATTCTTTGATGTATTTGGCTTCAGCGAAGCGGCAGGAGCATGGCAATGCTTCATGTGCAACAATCCCGAGAAAGCGACCGGTGAGAGACCTCTCCTGTCCACTTGCTGCTCAGAATCGCTCGTGCCCCTGGGATTCACAGGGACCTCTGAGCCCTGCATTTCTCATTGGCCTTCGTCTCACATCCTACGTTGTAATAATACACAGAGGGGTGCCTGATCGCCTCTGCCTTGTGCTGGGAAAGGTATCTCACCAAAGTGGGAGTGAGAGAAAGGGAAGATGTGGAAAGGGAGAGACACATAAGCCAGAAACAAGCAAGAGAAGCGACACCTTACCTGTATGTAGTTATCAAGGAAACTGTACAGACTGTTTTTCCATGAAAGCATTCATTTCAGCCCAGGTGACCCAAGGGTTAGAGAAAAACAACCAAACTCTCAAAAGCCCCGAAGGAAGGAGATCAGACTCAGGGAGTGAATGCAGGCACCAACCCTGTCATCTCGAGGTCATCCCTCACACTCCTGTTTCGTGATGGAGCTACATAAAAAGTGAAACTTTTGAAGAGTGAGGATTTGAGGAATACCTTCATAGCTGTTATTTGCCCTCTCACTCCCTTTCTGCTGCCCAAGGAATTTGGTCTACTGACCTTGCCTAAAAGTAACAATTATTAGTGAATATGAGCCCAGCCCTTGCTAAATGTGTTAGGTATAGTTCATTAACATTTATAATGATCTTATCAGGTTGGTACTAACATTATCTCCATTTCACTGATGGGGAAACTGAGGCACAGAGCAATTTGATTAACTGAGGTCACACAGGTAATAAATGAACAATAGTAGGATTTGAACCCAAGCTGACTCCAGGGGCCATGGTTAACATTCCACCGCTCTGCCTCCTCATTACGCATGTCCCAATCGGACCAGTGGAATTAGGTCGGTAATATGTCTGTCTTCAGAAAGTTATGCTGTCCTTTGAAATGGACTATTTCATCACTCACTTGCCTTCTGAGAGGACCCAGACTTCTCAACACGGACACTGCTCACGAACTGCAGTTTCAACTAAGAGAACAGTGTTCAAACCCCGTTGAAAATCCACTTTGTAGGTGATCCATTCTCTAGAGAGTCACGGGTGACAACCCCCCCCCCCACAGCCCTTATATCCGTAACCTCCATTTTAGGATTTGGGGACCTCTTAAAGATTATCCATTGTGGCAAGTCTGTTCTCTTGCTAACTGCTGAGAAGATAAGGCTGAATGGAAAAAAAGTGTCTTTATTTGGCCAGATGGGGATGAGAGGGGCTCTGAGAGGGACCAATTAAAAGGTCTTCCCCCACAGAAAAGGTTGTGGCTGGAGGAAGCTGGCAGTGAAGGATGGCGGCCCCTGTGAGGCACAGATTGTTGGCCCATTACAGAGTCTGTGTTGAGCTGATGCCAGAGTGAACACCCAATTTTAATAAGTTAATTTGGGCAAATAAGAAATTGGGGAATTGAAAGTCTCCATTATACAACTTTCTAATTAAACCTGACTTCACCTATGAAAAAGACAGGGCGTAAAAGAAACTTTATTTGAGAACATGGCGAAGTAAGGCACTTATCTTAGGTGGCTCTGAGAGACTCTTAAGAATTCTCATTCCAAGTCAGCTGAGTCCTTAGTTCAATAAACATTTCAGCATTTCTGGCCAATGGAGGCCTCCGAGAAGGGTCTGGAAGTTAGAAACACAAAGTGTTCCTTTAATATATGTTTTCTCAAATTCGCTGCCATACACTTGAAAAGGACATTTTGCAATTTACTCTTTCTTACTTGTGTTTCTCACCGTTAAATATAGACTGAGAACACACAGCAATAAAGACTCAAACAAAGCCAAATATTTTATAACAGAACATATTGAATCAAAATGTTTGGCCCCAAAAACTTCCGTGTGGTTACATTTCTTTGCTCATTTCCTTTTGCTACATAAAAGGGGATGCAAGCCTGCAAGAAATCTTATTTTAAACTATAATTTTCACCAAGAACTCCCGATTCCCTGAAAAATTTATGTAGGTTGTTGATCTCATCTTGTTTTGATATAAGGGTATAGGTTATACATTTCATATAAATGAAAGGTCTGACATAATACCGCTAACACATTATTCATGCAGACGATGGCTGCCTTCATGTTCTTCAATTGTGAGTTTAAATATGGTCAAGGAATAACTAGGAATAAATATTTTATTGTTTGGTTACACACAGCAAGCATAGTACCTGCATCCCACTGTTCATTTATGTAAGTATGTGTGTTGCCTTGATCGAATGTCTTCTACAGGCTGTGGCTTGGGACAAAATATGAGTAAGGTGCAAAATCTCCACTCTGAAAGGATTCAGAATCCAGTTAGGGTCAGCCAGTATATATGGAAAAGTCTAGCAGACACCCTCATATGTTTATGGCACGCAATGAATACTTGCTGAGTGATTGAATGAATGAATAATATTTGGGAATGGCAACATCAGATACACCTCGAGTGTTAAAATAAGATGTTTCAAAACTGTGGTTATGTGTTAATCAAATCAAATATATCACTATACCATACTCAGTGCATTGTGAATCTAGTAAATGGAGGTTGGTGCTTCTTTCCTCCTTGAGAGAAGTCAGTAGATATAAAACAAGTGGCCCACTTCCCTAATGTAGCACCTGACATACTGTGCCTGAGTCCTGTTACCATTCTGGGTTTTAATCAGTGCCCCTGAAGGATCCAGATGCCCCTCACAAGGTTTAGCCTCAGAGAGGATGGGGTTTAAAGAAGCAGGGTTGGGGGACGCCTGGGTGGCTCAGTTGGTTAAGCAGCTGACTTTGGCTCAGGTCATGATCCCAGCGTCCTGGGATCGAGTCCCACATCGGGCTCCTTGCTCATCAGGGAGCCTGCTTCTCCCTCTGCCTCTGCCTGCCATTCTGTCTGCCTGTGCTTGCTCTCTCTCCCTCTCTCTCTCTGACAAATAAATAAATAAAATCTAAAAAAAAAAAAAAAAGAAGAAGCAGGATTGGAGTCTAAGGCAAAAGAAATTTTTTAAATGGATTTGTGTTTTTTATTTAAGTATTGACAAATGATACAACAATTGCTGTCAAGTATTCATTGTTCCAGTATAGAAAAAAAGATGCTATTCAGTATCTCCATAAGTGAGGAATAAAACGTGAGGCATTTAGAAAATTTCAATTAGACATCAGGAAAGACATCCTAAAATATAAATCCTTCTTAACACTGTGTACCCTAAACTATGGGACTCATTCAGAAATTGACAGAAAATCATCTGGCTTATGTGGTCACCTAAGTACATTCCCTTCTTCAGATCAAAATCTTATCACCCACTAACACGCTTATCAACATACAGAAATTCACAGGCATTTAATATCTACTAAGTCAGTAAAATGCACTTTGAATCTAGTTAGGTACAGATGAATTCAGAGGAAAATGAAGGCTAGAATAGGCTAAAGATCCTAAAATTATTATAATTACTGTCATTTATCATGCTAACTATGAGTTAAACATTTTTCTCATTATTATTGACTCCATTTTATAGATGAGGAGACTGAAACACAAAGAAGTTAAGTAATTTCCCCAAGGTCACAAAGCTACCAAGAGGTAGAACCAAGATTTAATGCAGATTAATTCCTGAACCTGAAATTCCCGCCTCTTGGGCAAATCCAACTTAAGGACATGGACTATTTGAAATTCCAAGACCGATTATTTCACAATGTTATAATATCTTCCTCCCTGCTGACTTATTCCACTTAAAGAAGAGGGGCTTTGGTGTGATCATGTGTGGGAAATGATTATGTGAGGGAAACGGTTACAGTGAAAGCTATTTCTAATCCCTCCGATTGCTGATTCAGTTTCCGATAATCATTTTATAAAAGTACAGAGTCCACGATTAGCAAATCACTGGAATAACTCAAGAATCCTCTGAGATTTGCTTGGTGGTGTTTATTGCCCATCCCTGTACTCCTCATGAATGAGAGAATCAAGATTGAGCAAGTGAATAAAACAGAACAGAACTTCCTTCTGGAAAACCAAGCAAATCCCCTTTATCAGTTGGCCTCATGTCTTGGAACTGCAAGTGCATGTTAGCAGTAACAGTGAGTCAGCTCGGCCATCCTGGAACACATCTGGCTCTCTGTTCAGTCACATTTGTCAAAAGGAGAAGGAAGAACTAGGTCGTGACTTTCACTATTATTTCTTGAGACACTTGAGACATTTCTTGTTCTTACACCCAACAAAAAATAACTTAGAGACGTCTCGGTTTTGGCACGGGTGTCCTCCTCTGTAAATCAGATTGCTTCCCCGTGTGATTACTCTCTTAGTCACTAGATACTTGGATGTTGAATGTATTTGTGTAGGAGGGCTCCTTAGCGTATGAAAGAAAATGAAAGCATGTCTTTTTTCAGACGACCTTCTTTCAGGATTCCTCTTTAGAACTTGATTTCAAATCTTTGTGCTATAAAACCATGTTGTCTGTTTTATCACACGGGCAAACAGAGTTGGTTTCCAAATGATAGCAAGTAAAGAAAGGCCTCTTGTGAGGAGATTTTCTTCACACCTGCTGGGTAACTGGTAATAGCCTTTGTGGCTTTCGTTTGCCAGACGCCTTCAGCGTGGGCTGGCTAACTCTCCACTCAGATGCCCATGTGAGAACAGGCTTATGACCTCCGAAGTCAGAGGCCGCAAATAGCTTTGTGAGTCCATTAATATGAAACTTTTCCATTGAATTTCATGGTCAACATTCACAGTACTTTGGAGGTGACAAGAAGAAAGCCCCACTTTGGATTTGTGTGGTGCCTAGGTTTGTCATGTGAGGCCTTCCCTCCTACTACATATGTTAGAACACTGTCTTACGTGCTCAGTGTTGTTTGAGCACCAAAAGCAATGTGGTGCTTGTGTTCATATTTATCTACTGCTAGTGACTACTGAATACGCATTCCTTACATCAAACTGAACCCCAGCTTGTTATGCAAAGATACTTTCTATTAATGACAAAATAAAGACACACATATTGACTCAGATAAATCATTATCCTAAAATCATTTTCCTTTTCCTCCTCTTCCCATTTTCCTGTT